ATATTTCGTGTGATTGATTACTCTAATATTTTTTTGTTGGTACAACGTTTTACTTTTATTAGTGTACCTTTCAGTTGCATTGCACTCCTTAAACGTGTTTGAGACACTTTAGATAACAATGTGGCTGTCATTTGATTAACTCTGAAAATACAGAGGTTTTTATTGAATAAATCACCCACAAATCACATGAATTGAGTTACAGGTGTCCCCTCAGCAGACTTATTTAATAATACGGTAGGAAATTGTGGAGTAAAGTTAATATCTATCTTGTACACACACACACTTTTCCTCTACTGATGAGAGGAAGACAGAGGGGACTAAAGTATTTCTTATTTTTCTACATTGACCTGAATGTATTCTTTATTCTGTGTATTTGTGGACTGAAATAAAAGTTTTTATAAAGTTTGTGATACATTTATTTGCAGTCACTTCATTATACGTTAAATACATTTAATTCAAGCTAAGATACGTTAGCTAGTGCTCTTACCTGTGTGCCTCCTTCAAACAGCATTATAACCAGACTGTATCTTCAAACGATAAGTACCAGTTATAGCGACTTGATTTTAGATAAACAATTGAAAAGACTAAATCAACCAGCTAATGTATTGAAAGACCAATCTTTATTTTAAGGTGCCTTTTCTTTAAACCTTCAGATGTGAGATATTAGTCATGCAGTAATAGTATTGACAATACAAAAATACTGAGCAACTAGTTGAGTTAACTTTATATTTCTTATTGTCTAAAAAGCATTTATTACACATTTTTCCCACTCATAATCACAGTGTGTACCAATTGAGACTGTATTTCCCGTCAGGTGTCATCTCTCTAACCGGAGTACTGTTTTGGATGAAGCGGCTCCGGCACAACATTACAACATACATCAGATTCCCCAATAGTAGGTGTAGCAGTACGTACAGCAAGTTGCATTACATAGATTGTTTTGAACCCACCTTCAAAATAGCATTGTGATTATATTACTGGGTGGAAACTGAAAGCACGGGAACATTAATAAACTACATAACAATAATGAAATTGTGACTGTAGATATGTTTATACTTTATATTATTTACTGTAAATGTTTAATTTAGATTTAATTATTGTGATTATTCTTTCTATCTAAATCTCACAATGGGGTAGGTTACAGCAACTTTTCATCAACAGATTGCTTTAGTCTGGCTTAACTCTTCACTGATTGGTTGCACACACTTTAAATGTACTGGCTATGCAAAACAGAAGGTGGGGCTCATTATCATATTAAAAAAACGCGCGTTTTATATGTGTCAAAAACAGGCGGTTTTTTTAATGTCAAGAACGCGCGAAAAACGGGCGAATAGTGGCACTTGAGGCTTTCCATAGAATCATGATCTCTCCCGAGAGGGGATCGCGCCACACGTTGAAACAATGTCAATTCAATGTAGGGAATTTCAACGTTGAAAAACCGGCATCTATATTACATTGATTCAACAACATTTTTTCAAACGTTGAAATGGTATCTGTAAAAACTAGGGCCGGGACTTTAACGCGTTAATTAAGATTAATTAATTACACAACAATTAACGCGTTAAAAAAATTAACGCATTTTAATCGCACTTATTTTTGCACCGCGGAACGTTTCTCACTGGATGAGTTTCAGGCGTACCGATTATACTGGAGCACCAACTAACGTTCATGACTTCAGACAACAACAAACCACAGTGAACAACAGTGGGAAATGTTGTTTTAAAAAACGGACGGATGGAAGCGTCGATAAGAGCACGGTTGTGTGCAAATTATGCAAAAAGGAATTCGCATATCACCGCAGCACATCAAGCCTCAAGTATCACCTCAATGCAAAACATATAGCAGCTAGCGTGGACGTTAGCCTCTTTTATCGCGTTCACACCAAAAAGAGCCGGTACTAAAATTAGTTCATGAGAACCTTTTTACCCCCACGAAAGTCCCTGCTAGAGAGCAGAGAGCTGCTAGAGAGCAGGGACTTTCGTACGGCTCTCTTGTGAGAAAAGAGCTATATTTCTGATTGGCTGGGCGGATTGCAAACCACGCCCCGTAAAACTCCCAAAAAGTTTTGTGAAGCCGCCATTTTATTATCCTCGCATTAGCATTATTAGCATTAGCCCAGCGCAGAAACGCAGAGAGACTAACTTATGGCAACACAAAATAAAACATGGGAGCGGTGGAGATGAGGAGGTGTCGGCGTTCTGGCGATTTACTCGGAAGGCTGCTGGGACTCCCAGCAGCTTCTACTGAAGCCAGTCCCCAACTCCGGGGACTTCCGGCCGGGGACTTTGGGCGGCAGTATACGCCGTGAAGTGGTTTGCGGCCTGCCAGTAAACCCAAAGCAGAAGAAGAAGAAGTGACGTCAGCGGCTTAATTTGACTAATCCACCCCCAGGTTCAAAGAGTTCTCATGAACCTTTGTGGGAAAAGTACTGCGGTGTGAATGCGCCTAATGGTATACTAAAATCCATGTGAAAAAAATTGCTTCTCACTGTTCTTAGGTCAAATATTTATATGTGATTAAAAATGCGATTAATTTCGATTAATTAATTACAAAGCCTCTAATTAATTAGATTAATTTTTTTAATCGAGTCCCGGCCCTAGTAAAAACACATCGAATCAACATTGATTTTTCAACCTCAACCAAAAATAACCAATCTAACCAAAATCCAATGTTGAATTAATATCTTTTGCTATCTGGGTGGCCACCTCTGCTCTAGGGAGATCGTCTCACCGTAGCTGTCAATCTGATCAAAAGACTTGTTCAATGGCATTAAAACGAGAAAAAACGCGGCTTAGCAACCCCATTGTTTTGTTATGAAAATGTATCTATATAAATGTTATACACATTCTCGCAAGATCTATCAGGGGTCGTTGTAAGTTAAAGCGCAAACTGTTACTTGGCTAATGTTGTTATAATTCTCTGTGTGTGAACACAGCTCAAAAATGGAAAGATTTCAAGTCAGCGTAAACGACCGCAATCTCCAACGGAGCCGGACATCCGTGTGTCTGTCTGTTTGCGGTGTGGTTAAATGCCACAGCATGCCAGTTGAAAGAGTGTACGATCGCTATTGCCTACTTGTATGCTTAGGGTGTAATGGTATTACATTACATGTCACTTGTTCAACGCTTTTATCCAAATCAACTTACATACTCAATACTGTGGGAAATCCCCACAGGAGCAATTTGGGGTGAAGAGTCTCAGGGACACAACGACATGCTGACTGCAGTGGGGTTTGAACCTGTGACCCCTTGATCCAAACACCAACACTCAACCCACTGCACCACACGCCTATTATACAAACATATTGTAGGAGCACAGAAACACTGTTCAAATTCTGCTTTTACCAACTTATGTTGGTTGTGCTTACCTTGCAAAGTAATGTTATAAGTGTCAAAGGAATGTTTTTAATGTAAATATTAAGGATAATATTGTAGCGTGTCCAAGTTAATAGTTATGTCAGTTATCAGATGTGCACAGTTTAGTATATTTGTAAAGTTATTTAGGCAATTGGTGGGAGTTAGGGAGAGACCACCCCTTCCAGGGGGGTATACTACGAAGCAGGATGTTCACTTAGCGGCTAACTTCAGGGGTAACTCCGGCTTTCCGGTCATACGAAGCTGGTTCTCTTTTTAGCGGGCTAGATCTCCATGGTAACTGATGCTTAGCGGCTAACCTGCTCCGGAGCAGGTTAGGTTGCAGGCTAAGAGCTCAACTCAGTGAAAGCACCGCCTGCTGACCAATCAGAGCTCAGTGTGCAGAGTTTAAAGCGATCAAGTCATATTACAGGAGAAAGGAAATACAGAAAAGCTGCCGTTGCAGGAAAGACGGCCGGCAAAAATCAGCGACTGTGTGAACGTGAACATGAATAGAATATCACCTCCATCTTCAGAGCAATCTGACTATTATAACATTAGCGTTAAGAAAGCTTACTGAAATATCTGCCACAACATCAGTAACCGGATCAGAGTAACATTAAGTACAGTCCGCGGCATACCACTTCATAATGTATCACATATCTCCTGATCTGAGTCAGCTGAGCCGTATCTGGCCGTGCAACACTCACAGCGTCACAGACTGTATGCAGAAGTATTATTTTAAGCAACACATTAAGTTGAGGAAACACTCGAGACAAATGTAATGAAAGTCAGATGGTGTCGGGTGGTGACGGGCAGTGATATCATAAACCTATTAATGTACGCATTCAAACACTTGTTCTGTTCCCAGCTGTATTCACCTTGCAGGTGCAGCTCTGTGGCTTTGATCCTGGATCAAGTGTTTAAGTCATGGATGTTTAAAGTTCAACTTCTTCATTTTTTACTAGTATTAAAGTTGACTTTTCATTCAGGAAGTATGACGCTGCGCTGTCAGTACGCTTCTCCATGTTTGTGATTGGTCGAATGCTCCAGATACCACCCCTCTCATGTGAACGCGCACCTAGCTAGATAGGACACGGCTGGCTTGAGCGATCCACTTGATAACCAGCGTCGTAGGACCGCTTAGCGAGAGCGCGTATGTTTTGGATTAGGCCAACCGGCTAACTCAAACATATCCAGGTTAGGTTGAACCAGCTTAATAAAATCATTGATTAAAAATGTTTTTCCTGCCAAAGACCTGACATTTAATAAAGCTAGTTTAAGTTTGTTAAACACACTATCAGGCATGTTTTTTGTAACAAGCTGTGGCTGACATGGAATCACTGCTACATTTGATAAACTCACACAAACGTTTGAGCGCTTCCTGTATCTAAGATGATTCACCGCTCTTAATCTATTACCTATCAACACAGATATCGGCAAAGCTATAGGCAGGCAGGGCCCCGACATGTCCTGGAAAGAGTTGAGAGTGCCATACGCCCTTGAGCCTGGACCCAGCACATATCAGTTTGCAGCGTTTTGTACACACACATCCCTATCAGGCTTTGAAGGGGAGGGAGGACCCACCACCCTGCTCCTCTCATCATAGGAGGGCAGGGTGAGGGCTACACTGTAGAAAGGGGGGTTTGGAAATCTGCTTCCATCTTCCTTTCCTTTCCTAGCAAAGGAAAGTCTCCATGTAATGTGGGTGGCTCTTAAAAGAGCCTTTGGTCGGTGGGTCAGCAGCTGCTTATCCCCCGAAGCCGTACAGGGTGCGGCCCTGCCTCTTCAGAGCGTACACCACATCCATGGCGGTCACCGTCTTCCTCTTGGCGTGCTCGGTGTAGGTGACGGCATCACGGATCACGTTCTCCAGGAACACCTTCAGCACACCGCGGGTCTCCTCGTAGATCAGACCGGAGATACGCTTCACTCCGCCGCGGCGAGCCAGACGGCGGATGGCGGGCTTGGTGATGCCCTGGATGTTATCACGGAGCACTTTGCGGTGCCCCTTAGCGCCTCCTTTGCCGAGTCCCTTGCCTCCTTTTCCTCGTCCACTCATTTTGGAGTTTTGGTAGATCGGGTCGTTCAAAGCGAATGAGTGGAAGCAGTCTGACCGGCAGTGTCTTTTCTGTGTTCCTTAACTGACACAGAAAAGATGCAGTGAGTGGAATGAAAGGAATCCATGGCTTTTCAAAAAAACTAAAAAATGTGGATGTGAGATTTGCAAAGAGGCAAAAAGTATATTGATCTCCCTGCCGCTCGCAGAAAGATCCACCTGAGTGCACCTTTCACAAGAATGGATTCAGGGAAAAGTCAGCAGTGATCAACAGAATAACCTGCGGGAAAATATTTATAAACACTAAGAGCCAGGCACACGAAAAAGAGATCGAGATTTCGGAGATGAGAAAAAAGATGTCCTACCAAACAAGGTAGGCCTATTGGCAATCAATGTTGATCTAATGCAGGAAACATATATCTTTCAGGTCTGCTATATGATTTCCAACAAAAATAAATATATAGGGCTCCCCGAAAGCCAATGGGTAATTTGAACACTGGTTATAAACCTTGTTCTTATTCAGTATCAAGCCACACTTATTGTTCTTACTTTGGCTGTGAGTGTTTGTGTGTTCAGGATGAGTTTCGCTTGTTCTCGCTGTCCAACACGGAAACCTGTCCGCTCCTCGCAGCAACGAGCCTCAACGTCCCGACCAATCAGAGCACACTGGGCTCACAGGGAGGGGGGGCAGGAGCTCCAACAAGCCGTTTAGGACAGAGAGTGAATACACAGACTATACAGAGATGCTGTGAGAAACCAATGTGAGTTTGGAACATTGAACAATATACATATATTCTAGTAGACCTCAACAATGGAACTATGATCAGGAGAAATGGCCGTGACATGGGACCTTTAAATTATTTGTTGGTAAACTGGGTTAACTCGTACAGTGTTGACTTGTCTGAAAAAACATCAGCAACACCATCTAATTTTGAGTCTGAGACAACAAGTTATTTACGGTTGTATGCTCGGCTAAATCCTTAGAATCGTTACAAGGTGTGTTTTTTGCATTTTGTAAATTGTGTAACTTGCTGCTGTTAAATACCATCAAACTATGTGCAATATATTTAAGCAATAGCTCACGACAGGCCGTGGTATATGCTCATTATATCACAGCTAATGGGCGTGGTTCGGCCCGACGCACAGCACACTTGGTAATCTTTATAAAACGGTTAGTGTGGCAATATGAAAGAAAAGTACACACTCTAATTTAAATAGTTTTTATTAGTAAATAATGACGTTCAAAATAAAATAGTCCCTCCGTAGGCAACAACACTAACAGCTAGCGATCAGATTAGACGGAGAACGTTGATCCATTATTTGGCTATTTATTTACATTCATGTGTTTGTTGCCGTTTATTGTGCAGCCACTGAAAAACTGTCCAGCATCAGTAGCATGCTTACGAGGTTACTTGTATAGGTTGAGGTTGTTCTAGGCTGCTGCTTGGCGTGGTCAGAATATTGCTCCACTTTCTCCGGTCCCTGAGATTGGGCTTCCAGCAGCTCTGGAGAGAGCTTTCGCACCTGTGGCCACTAACGGTCATCATGTCCCTGCTTTGTTTCAAGACCCGCATCAGAAAGCTTTTGAATGGTGCTACTTTTCCAGTTGGTCTACCTGCTCTTCACGTAGCTCTGCATGTCGTCCTTTAGGTGCTTTCTGGAGATAGGCACTGCCATGGGCGTCGCCTGGGGTAGGATGTTTTTTCTTTAGCCCCGGACAAATTCTCCCTCAATAATATAATACATTAACCTACTTTACCTATAGGATGGACGGCAGAATTGTAATTTCCCATGTTCAGTGAATGCAACACAGAGGCAAGACGACGCCACCAGACCAATCAGAGAGTTGCATGGAAATAAATGTGTTTTATTGGCTGACAGGTACGTACCTCTCCTCTGTGACAATGTTTACACTTTAAACTGTCAGCCCCGGACGCGGAGATTCTGAAGATGGACATTAGAAGTTTTTTTAATAAAAAAGACGGCAATTCTCAAGTGGTGGCTCACACAACAACCCCAGAGCCACCACCTGAGCCAGGTGAACAAGGTATGTACCTGTCAGTAAACTTAAAAGTTATGCGAACATGTAAGCAAAGCATAAATTACAGCTACGTTGACGTTACTTTGAATCGCGCGGGTAAGCTAAACCGTTAACAAGTAGCTATAGCTAGCCAGATTAAATAAACACTTTGTCATACAATCTAAATATTGTGTTTTTTAGCGTTACCTGGTGATTTCAAAGAAAGCTCTCTGGGAAATGTTGACTTACTGTCAGTGTTCGACATGAAGCTAGAAGCTACCTTACAGTACCAGTAGCGTGGCGTGGGGAAAAATGTAGGGGAAGCCCATTTTTTGGGTCGGGGGGGGGGGTCAATAACGTAACTAGATGAGTGATTATAGCGCCCGGTATCGTTTTACACACATTTGTATCACACAGATGCAGGACTTGCACACGCCTGTTATCTAACCGACAGGTCCGCACGCACTCTCCAGCTGAAACTCTCTCCTTATTAATTTAAGCATTTAATTATTAATGTATGCAGACAATCACACAATCTATGTGATGTTTGGATTTACCGTGCCTCTCAATTGCCCGTGGCAGGTTGGCAAGGTCGATGAATCCTGAAGTTGCCCAAGGATTGTTCAGGGAGCACGAATCCTTGTCAAAAAGAAGACATGGCCAGCAAAATAGACGCTGAAGTTTAGCGCTTCCAGTTAGCCACTCCGTGCGGACATAATTGTCCTCATTGAACGTCCGATTCTCTCCCTTTTTCCTCTGTGTACACACAGCTCGAGTGCGGGCATTGGCCTGTCATCTGATTTAATTTTTAGTTGCTGCTGTAGCGGAAGTTTAGTAAAGTTATGTTTGATTAAGTACGCCAAATCTCCTCCCTCCATAATGCTTCATTTGCTTGATAATTTCTAATGGCGGTGATGACAGTTACAGTATTAAAACTGATGTTGATGTGATTTGATTGGATGGCAGTGTCCAATCAAATCGCCAGCCGCCAGCCGCCTCTGAAGGGAAGCAAGAGGCGGCTGGCTTCCCTTGGCATGGCCCTGACCAATCACAGGTTGGCAGGGGCATCACGTGGGCCTCATCTGATTGGTCAATCCCTCCTTTTTTTTCACCAAGGGAAGCTAGATTCGGCTGGCCTCCTCTCGCAACATAGAGTGCAATCTACTGTTTCACCATAACATCTAGAGGGGCGCTGTTTCACTCTTTGTAAAATACTCAATGAGAATGGGGGAGAGTCGGGCCGGCAGCAAAACACAGCAAAGGAGAATTATCGAGTGTATTTATTTATTTATTTAAATTATATCTACAATCCGAAAAAACAGGGGAAGCCTGGCTTCCCTTGGCCTCCGGGAGAAAACGCCACTGTACAGTACACAGTTGATCCGGAGTCCTGTCAGTTAAGGTGTTTCATAGTTAGCTTAGCTAAGCATCAACCTAGCACTGAAATATATGGATGTTATGTGATAGTATTTCTGAGAAAAAGTCAGCTGAAATGGTGGCATAGTTGCCACTGCTTTACGTGTCGACAGCATGTTTGAACGTATTTGCAGCAGTAAATGTGGCTGTCGGGTCACTGACGTTGCCATAACAACACCTGCATTTAAATGTGCAACCTCTTTTTGTGACAGATTTTACATGAAATTATAATTCTTCTGATTGATATTTCCTATTGACAGCTAGTTTCTATGTGAACATTATGAGATGGACAGCCAGCTTTTTATACAAATATTTCAGATCAAAGCCAATCCAGTGGGGCTCCTGAAAGGCGGCAAGGGACACTATGCTCCCAAATATTAAGCCTTGACCCGCATCTTAAAATTGATATGATCAAAAAATGATCTGCATTGTCGGAGGCCTTTTTTCCTCATTATCATGTCAAATTGTACAGCTTTCCTTAGTGTTGAATGCAGAAAGATGACTATATTAGAGTATTAAGTGAAAATGACTATATTAAAGTTTTAAGTAAATATTAGGGCTGTCAAACGATTACAAATTGTAATCAGATTAATCACAGCTTAAAAATTAATTAATCATGATTAATCACCATTCGAACTATGTCCAAAATATGCCATTTATTTATGTATATTGTTGTGAATGGAAAGATAAATGAAAGAAGGCGGATATATCCATTTAACATACAGTATCTATGTTTATAAAACATTTCTGCGTGTCAAAATGAAAGACAACCCACACACCTATCAATCATCAAACCGTGGGGTTTTAATTCATTACGTGTTGATTTCTATCAACGGGGGAGTACTTCAGGAAAGTCGACAGAGGGGGGGGGGGCGGCGGCTAGTGGACTACTTCGTGACCACAGAGTGTGAACGTTGTGATCAGCTGTTTTAGCGCAGTTCTCCAGTGAAGGGGGGGAGTCTCCCTCCGCAGCCGGTTGGCTTAGTTTTGGCACAATTCCGTTGTCCAGACCGACGTTAACAGCAGCCCTGTCTGTGCACACGGAGACCGACTCTGTCGTCCGGTGATCTAACCGCCTTCTGGAAAAGCTTCACAAGTACGTCGGTACGCAAATGCGCTTTGTGACACAAGTGACGGTACGCATTTCAGATTACGCACATAACCTGCGTACCAGTTATGTGCACCCCTGTACTACAGCAAAAGTATTCTCCGTCGGGACTTCCTGCAACAACACCACGCCGTTATCAAAGATGTTCTATTGAGAAGACGATCACTACGTGACAAAAGTTTTCAAAACCGTGGCTACTGAAATCAATCTTACTAACTGCTGTCTGTGCAATTTACTCCGCGAGTTGGCAGACTTTATTTTGCTTACTGTGATAATCTTTCACATTAAACTTAAAACAACTCTGTGAGGGCCTAAGATATTCTACAAAATAATATTTAAAAACATTTTAGTTATATTTTTCATTAGTTTTACCAAAATAACTTGATTTAATTGTATTTAAAATAACATTTCCAAATAAATAAATCCTTCGAATCTGCCTGTTCAGTTTCTGTTGGAATGTGAAGGGTTAAATGAAAGAAGCTCCTCTCTGTGAGTGTGAAGACAGGAGCTGTTGGACGTCCAGCTAGAATTCACAGAGGGCCCGCTATAGTAACTAAAACGAGAGAGTAATGTCAAATGACAGTACAATTGACCAATCATATCTTCCTTCTAAATGGGTGGGTGTTATTATCGCGAACTTTATGACATAACTCGAGGGAAGGGGGTGGGGGTCAGAGGGCCTAGGTATAAGTGCACGGCTCGCCACTGCAAATAGCCAATCACACAAAAAACATGTTGCTGTGACTGTGAGCATTAAACAATTAAAATTAAACTAACACAACAGTACGTTATTGTCCTTATAAAATAAAAACATACATTTTGTCCACCGATATAATACAGGCACCTTACCCTCAAGAGATCCTCACGTGCTTTGAGAATCTCCCACAATCTATCGCCATAACAAAGCTAATGCAGGCATACGTTTGTGACACTAGATGGCGCAATTGTGTATGTGCGTGTGGGGAGTCTTGCAGTAGAACATTTGACTGTAGTGCCGCCACTGTGGGCTAAGCCCCGAATGTTTCCAGGTCCAGGCGACGCCCCTGGGCACTGCTCAATCCACTCCTCCATAGTAAGATGGAGTTCATCTTAAATGTTTCCATCTTAAGCTTTGTAAGTTTGTTTCGCAACGGAAGAAATGTAAATATATTTATAAAACTGACAAGTCAAATCAAGCAATCTGATTGGTCGATAGCGTTTTTTGCGGACTTCTTTGATTACAGATTTGAAAACATCGTTGCTTGCTTTAAAAGTAGCACAATTCATGATGTCAAGCCTTGGGAAGTATCTAGATATCCCTGCCCTAATGCCAAAGGAACTGCACACTGAATATGTGTTGCAGTTTGATGTCTATGTCTGGACCGCTGCGTAACAAGGAGGGTTTCTGCCCCGTTGCTTCTCCGCTGCTTTCTTGTTCCAGTTTGCCCAACGGTATACTGTTTTTCTCAGACGCGGAGGGATACTGACTTGTTGTGAAAAGTAACTTACAATTCTACCCGTGTTTTATAAACATTATTATATACATATACCATTAATAACTGTGTAATATATACCTGGCTGCTAAATCCTAAGAACTGTTACAGGATTTGTATTTTGAGAAGTATTTTGTTTGACTTTTTTTTTGTATTATATTTTTTATTATATCATAACTTAGTTCTTTTTTTAACATATGTAACATTAAGCTGTCTGTGGCTCTTTCCTGCTGTAACGATGCACATGTCCCCTCTGTGGGACTAATAAAGGTCTTCTGATTCATTGATATTTGGATATCAAGCCCCCTCAAAAAAACCAAGATGGACCTTCATTAGAGTAAATATATATTTTGGTCATATGAAAGTTATACTACAATACACATCCATACACATTAGGGTAGTGGACATTTAAAAGGGTAATAAGGGGGATCCCCATTTTGTAAATATTATAATCATAGATTTAAAAAAACGTGGAAGCGTTTGACTGAAACTGTTGTTTATTGAAGCGGGTTCAGGGTGTTCTTCTCGGTCTTCTTGGGCAGCAAACATGTTTCTTCCCACATAATACCCCCCAAAAAGTAATGTTCGGCTCTGCTTCCTCGGAGGCTCTCGCGGAGGAGCAGACAGGAGTGGGGAGTTGCCAATAGATGGCAGAATAAGCCAGCTAATCGAATAAGCCAGCTAATCTCTTTTTTCTCTCTGTTTTATTATGTGTTGAGGTGGAGAAGCCAAACTTTGCTTCTTGCATCTGTAAGAAATTAAAATCAATACGTGAATATTAAATGAATGCACCGCTTTATTTTGAAGGAAAACCCGGATGTTTACATTACGTCACTTCCGGGTTTACTTAACTTTGTTTTCCGCGGTTAGAATGGATCAAATAAAAAGTCCTGAATGAGAATATGAGGAGGGAAGACCCTCCAGATGTACTTGCTTTGAAACCACTGGACTAATCGAGCATTTGTATGTGATTTATATAACTATATATCATTATATATGACATATCAGTCAGAGGTCTAAGATGTTCGATAGTAACGTAGTTTTAACTGAATAGAGAATATTTACTCGCACAGTAATATGTCTTACACATTGTTCTGTTGGTACTTGTTCTGAGTATTTCTTATCCATAGTTAGGGATTCAAAGTGAGAGTAATTACAGCTTCATTTCTAATTAAAATAAATATATATCTAAATATTTATTGAACAAATTGTTAACTTCATTGCAAAGATAAAAACAAAGTCATTAAAATCATCAGTACCAATCAGCAATTCCATCAACATGTTTTTCATCATTGTCTCTTTAATCAATTCATTGTTGAAAATGTTTTAAATGTTCTTCCCCTGGACACATCATTAACAATATAATGTGTCTTTAACCCACTAAGTAAAACCATAAGCATATCGTAAAGAGTATATTTTAAAACCAATAAAGAGAGGAAATGATTTAAATCCATTCACAAATGATTTGAAAGCCAGCCACTGTTAAACAACAGATCTGGACCTTTGGTGGAATCATAGAAAGCCGGGAGTTGAATTATCTGGAGGCCGACCCTTCACTTCCGTTTCTGGTGAGGAAAACAAACAATGAGATTTTAATTCATTTCTCAGATAAACAATATTTCAACCCTGTTTTCCTGTTCTCCTGTTGCAGCTATATTGGTAGTTGAATGTGTCCGCTGCGTTTAGGTTTCCACTTTTGGAGAATAGAGCATTATTTCCCACTCACATGTACACTGGTAAAGCTTGTTGACACGGGCAATGTCATTCTTGCTCATGGTACGAGCAGTCCCAAAGTCACGACTCGGATTGCTCTTGGCGAGGATGGTTGGTTTGCCGTTTTTGCTGAAGCCGTATCTTGAGGATCAAAATAAGACAACATGTTTGGCAAACACACATCACAAGCACACAGACACTTGCTTCTTCACTAGGCAAGTTAGACGTAAGACCTACAACTGATTTAATTCAATATTGGATGAAATTTGACTTCACAATACCCAACATTGAAGAAAGAAAACCGATGAATAATAATGAAACGTTTGATTTTGAATGCAGGACTTTTACATGTCAAATAATACTTTTACAACCTAGAATAGCTATTTTCACTACAGTAAAAGATCTGAGTATCATATACGCACATACAGTCACACAAACACTCACTTTCCGTAGTGCATGACAGAGTCGAAGTCGTAGGGAGTACCCAAGTTGTTAGTTTTCTTCTTCTTAAAGTTATGTTCTTTTCCTGCACAGGAAGAGAGAACAAGAGAATATTTATATTTGAGAACAGTTTTTTATAAACGCTGGATTGAAAATGTGGGAACAAAACTTGCTTAAAAGCATGCTGGAAGACTTCACAGCCAACTCCTTTATTAGTAACTATTGGATGGATTTAAGCCAGACATTCGTGAAGCTCACAGGATGTTTCCCTGACTTTTCTTCTAGAGCAGCAACTTGGCTAAAGCTTTCACCGATCCAGTCAAATATCTCAACATCTAAAGATGGCACAAAACTCAAAGATAATATATTGTAATCATTTAAATCTAATGCCATCAGATACAAATCTAAATGTGTCCAATACTTATCTCTGCAAAGCTAACACCTTCCCCAGCCTCAGATGTCCTTTGTGTCGACTTGTAATGATCAGATGTTATCATTCTAAAAGACTAAACACAAGACAGGGCTTTTCCAAGTGGGATGGAGGGTGTACAAACTGGGAAATGGGAAAGACCCTCCAGAGCTGCTATCATGGCAATGACTTTGGTGGCTTTTCAGACATAAGGCATAAACTCACCTCTCTGTAGATCGCATCATCTTTCATACAACACATACTGTACAATCAGGACTGTGAAGAAGAGCGTTTGTGTGTGAGCGGACCTGTCTTAATGTTCTGGGAGAGGATGGAGACGTATCGGTCTCTGTCGGAGCGGACTTGCTCGTGGTTGAAGCCCAGAGCGTGGAGAACCTCGTGCTGCACTGTGGATGTGCTCACACAACTATTTTTCTTCAGGGAGACGCGCTGTCCTCCACCCTGTCGGCCCAGGGAGGACCAACACCTGACACACACACACACACACACACACACACACACACACACACACACACACACACACACACACACACACACACACACACACACACACACACACACACACACACACACACACACACACACACACACACACACACACACACACACACACACAATATGAAAATAAGAATAGGTATTGTTGATACATTCCTGGCCTCTTGTGTGAAAGAGGGATCTGTTGTTTTTTTACATTCCAAAGTAACTAATTCATGGCGCATTTCCACAACGTGCCCGTTTTTGATTGCGTTTCCACTTGGCGTAGTTTCGGCTACTGTTTCGCAGTTTTCTGGCTCTCCAAAATCGAGGTTCTTTCCGGGCCAACAACCGGGCTGAGTCGGGCTGAGTATGCTAAACTAGAGAGAGAATCGCTGGCAAGGGGGCTACAACTACATCCCCCATCAAGAATAAGCCCCTTTAATTCATATTTGGTGACCCTGTACAAAAAGTAGTGAAATTAAGCCCCTCCCCTAAAGTATGATTTTCTTCAACACTGACATGAAGCAACATCACGACCAACCACAACAGAAACAGATTCAGACTTAAGTTCAAATGTAATCACAGAATAGTGAGATTTCTTTGTGTTACAATGTGTGTTCTTACCCAGATCCAGAGAAGAAGTCGAGGTAATCTCGCTGGGTGGTCTTCAGGACAAAGCGAATGCAGGTGGATGCGTGGAAGGTCACCAGGGCTCTTCTGATGGTGCTGCGCTCTGTTCTGGCTGCAGAGACAAAGAACAGGGTGCTGAGCACTGTTCTCACCAAACCTGGTCTGCCTTGCAGCATAAGATCTCACTTTAGGTTGAATTTTAGGGTCAATGTGTATTTACTGTAGTCGGGGGAGATGTAGACCGGTACGTTTACGAGTCTAGATTTGGGCGATTTGGGCCATTTGCAGCCTTTCGCCGTGCAGCTATCTGCATTCCTTCTTAGATTTGGCACAATGTCGCCGTCGACCAGGGGCGTAGCTGCAGAACAATAAGTTAAACACATTTGTTCATGAATATCTGTACCAGGAGTCTGGAGTTTCACAAATATCATTTACATTTACACATTTGCTGAGGCTAAGGGTTTTTCCCTTCGTGAAAAATACATTTTAACAAGTTACAAATCACACAAGCATGTCTGAGCAACAATGAGACACCTTAACACAGGGGTAGACATTAAGGGTAAAAAGCCACTGGCCCTCCGGGCCGGTGGAATTGTATTATCACTGGCCCCACCATTGTAACCACTGGCCCGGAGCATTTGTCCAAAAACAATCGACTAATAATGAAGAAAATTAACACATTTGTTGCAATAGTAATGTACGCACTAACTACATTACTACTTGTACTACAACATTTGAATCATCAGTTCTTCCTCATTTTCCTCAATTGTTCATATTTGGTTTATTAAAATAATGATATTGTGGTCATTGTTAAAAAATGTCTGCTATTATTATGAATATTATTATTTGTATAATGCGCTTTCTGCCTTCCTGTCAACAGGAGTTAGAAATGTAATGGCTATAGATTAGATTAGATCCTTCATTATCCTAAACTGCTGGGACATTTCGCCAATACCTTTCTATTGTCTACTCTTCACTCACTTGTCAGCATAGGTCGGCACAGAGCCGACAGAAGACCTTGTTTATACTGGCATCATATTGAGAGGTGCAGCCAGTGACGCATCCTATAACCAGGAAGTAAGCTGCTGGTTCCCTCCACAGAAAGCAATGGGATTTCTCCACAGGGTTTTGGAAAATAGCGGGAAATAAGGTCTGTGGAAAACAAACCTGTTTGATAAATGCACGTTTTGTTTAGCCGGATAATCTCCACATGTCTACCCTACTTTTATAATGTTCGAATCATAAATCTAATGATAGATTATAAAAGGGTTTTAGGACGCGTCACTGCACCACTAGAAGCTAACTCCATCGATCAAGCTGAAACGTTCTCTCCCTCTTCTTCTCATGCTCCCTGTCACTCTCCTTTAACTCCTCCGGTGACTTTCTTTTATTTGAAGATAGTTTTTTGCCCGGCGCTTGGCCGGTTACCGCTGGTATTAAAAAAATGTTGGCGAATGGTTAGGTGGCGCGATAGTCTGTAGTGAAGGAGCGCGCTCCCGCTCACGGGAGCCTGCTCGCGCTGCGCTCCGCAGCAAACAGCTGTTTGCTTTTCACCCAACAACAACGACAACCGACTCACGGAACGCTATATTGTAGCGTTAATAAACGAAACAATTTAACTAAATTGCTAGTCAAAATACCAATACCACAGGAAACATTTTTTTTAAACAATATTTTTAGTGGCCCGAGCGGGCAAGTTGAAAGTACTTTATGCTGGCCCGGGGTGTCTAAATAGTGCTTCCGGGCCAGCGGGCCATTTATAATGTCGAGCCCTGCCTTAACATGTCCTCAAATAACACAAGCTGAACCCAACAGGTGTTTGGAAAAGAATCCTTAATAAATGTCTTCAATGGTAACTTTTGAAAACTCATATTCTGTTGTTCGACTTTGACAAACAGAGATGAGATCTATACCAAGTCTTATTGTCATTTTGCCATCATGTTTTTGGATAGAAAATATAAAACTTGTGTCGTACTTATGTGAGCATTAGCTCTCTCGATGATGTCAGAGGCGTCCAAAGACTCTTCTGAAACAACAGAGAAAACAAATGATACCAGAACATTTAAAAGATAAACTAAATGTCAATATACAGTCAATTCTTCATTTCCAACTCACGTCTTTCCCCGTTATCAGTAGCACCCTGCAAAGCGAATGGACACCATTATAAATATAAAAAACATGTTATTTCTCTTCAATGTTATTCATACAAATAAAATAATGTATTCCCTTTTTCTTTAAATAAAAAATGAACATTTTGTAAAGAGTCAGACTCACCGGAGGAATGGCCGACAAAGACATGAAGAGGACGAAAAGCAAAACTGGAGTCATGACGGCGGTCCTCTGAAGTCAAACCTCAAATCTGAAAGTGTTCGGTGGTTAAGGAAAAGGTTTGGTATACATACGTCCTAAATGATTTCTGTGAGAACACAAATAGTGAGAAGAGGGTCAGTGGAGCTTACCTGCTGGAGCTGACTGCGATGCTCGATGCAGCAGGTTCTCAGATCTTATAGAAAGCTGCGTGTCAGAGGATGGAGTCAGATCTGACGCCTCAGCTTTCAGTAAAACATGTTATTTATAGAATAATACTCAAGAAGAATTCAACAGAAAGGTATTTTTACCAGGAAGGAAATGAATGCATGAGTCATTATCAAGAAATACATGGCCAATGGTTCCTCTTTCAAAGAAACAGAAGTTATGAAAACCAGGAAACACATTAAAGGTGGGGTAGGTAAGTTTGAGAAACCGGCTCGAGAAACACTTGTCGTTATATTCCATGGAATGCTCTTAACATCCCGATAGCAATGAATATCTGAAGTGCTTTGACAACAAATCCATAAAGAAATATCCTCTGTGGAAGCTGTGGCGCTGTAAAAAGCTCGACCAATCATCTGAGCCGGCTAAAGTAACTGGTTGATTGATTGATTGATTGATTGAAAAGTTTATTAACAGCTTGTATATTGGGTACAGTACAGTACAGCTCAAAACATACAATTGTTAAGGGGATGCAGACCAGAGAAAGACTTTCGTCTTGTTTACATCAGGGTCCCCCATTTCCAATTCATCATATCATTTAAGACATATAAGACATATTTGACATACAGATTGCTTATTTACAATTTACATTTTAGATTTCGTTCTAATACATCCTAACCGGACATTTAAGACATACCAAGTCTACAGATATACAGTTAGTAACAGAGTCTAAGATGCGAGTATATACATAGATGGGGGGGGGGAAGCTGTCCATTGAACGACAGGTTGAGATCTGTACCATTACCGGGGCCAGTTTTGCAATGCTCTCCCCCGAAGGTGCTCTTTAAGAGAGGTTTTGAAGGGAAGTATAGTTTTACTTTCCTTTACAGTTGTGGGAAGAGCGTTCCACCTTGATGTGGCATCATTGCGAAACGTGTATTCCCCCTTTTTTGTGCCAAATCTGGGTTTCACATGATTTGTGGAGCTCCCTCTGGTGTTATGATCATGGTATTCCTTGACCTTTGGGAAGCATTTTGACATGTACATGGGTACCATAGAGGTGTAGTGGATCTTGTAGACCAGGCCCATTGCAAGTAGCTGTACTCTGTCGTCTACTCTAAGCCATCCTAGGTTGTCAAAGTGGGCAGAGGTGAGGTGGGTTCTAGATGAAAGGTCAAGCAGTAGTCTGACCAGTTTATTTTGCGATGTTTGAAGTTTTATTTTTAGCGCCTTGGAGGTGCTATGGTACCATGACGTGCAAGCATAGTCATAGTACCCTTGAATGAGTGCTCCTGCCAGAGTTTTCAGGGTGTTCTTGTTTACCAGAGAGGAGATCCGGTATCGGAATCTAGTTCTTTGATTGACTTTTTTTATTACATTGGATGCCATTTTGTCACAGGAGAGGTTTGCCTCAAGAATAGATCCTAGGTATGTAATTTCCTTCTTACTTGTGACAATAATGTCGCCCACTGCAACTGAGAAGTCGTCGGATTTGCTGAGATTATGTTTCGAACCGAAGAGAATGGACTCTGTTTTACCCAGGTGTAATGATAATTTATTATCGGCGAGCCAGGTGCAGATTCTGCCGAGCTCGGAGCTGAGGGTTTTTTCAACCTGCAACCTGTTCCTGTCAGAGACCAGCAGGGCTGAGTCGTCCGCGAACAGGAACAAGTTGCAGTCACATGCTGATGACATGTCATTTACATAAATTAGGAACAGTAACGGACCTAATATGCTTCCTTGTGGAACACCACAGCTCACTGGGAGGGGGGGGGGGGGGGGGGGGGGCAGAGTACCGTTTACCTCCACCATCTGTTCTCTCCCCTCCAGGTAGGATTGCATCCAGCTCACCGATAGTTTATCAAAACCAGGCCATCCACTGGATGGCCTACCTGCCTGTCAGCCTTCCATCTGGGCACAGACTGATCTCGCGCCCTCATTGGTCATGTGCGCGTTCGTGTGTGTTGGAGGAGGGGCTCTGTGAGGAAGTGGCAGATTTTCTTCCGGTTGTGTATTTTCAAATTCTAGCGCACTCGAGCTGCTTTCTCCAAAATTACTTACCCCACCTTTAATAAATCTTTTCATTTATGGGCATAAAATAAAAATAGATAAATATCTTCTGATCCTGAGGGGTCAAACTCAGTTGCTTCAGCAGCACACAAACAGAAAAGTACAGATTAATATGGAAGGTAATAAAGAAATAACACTATTTGCATTGAAGTATAAGTTCTCCGAGGAGGATATGATAAATATACTGTAGATTTTGACAGCACTAAAAGGCATATTTAGTATATTGTATATGTATTACCGCTATACAATATAAATGAATACATATAACTACAATATTACACTCCGTTTCATCTATACTGCCACTTATCTTTTTCTACTTAGTTTTAATATGTACTTATTTGATTAAAATGTGTATCAATGCGATAAATACATGCCTTTTTATTTAAGAGTATTTTATTTTTGTCTCTATATATTATTATTATTATTATTACATGTTAGACGCTTTCACACAACACAATCACAACGACATGCTGACTGAAGTGGGGTTTGAACCTGTGACCCCCAGACCAAGGCTCCATCCACTGCGCCACCACTTTGTCCCACTTTGCTTTAACGATGTATATTTCCCCTCTGTGAGAAGAGCATAGGAATGTTGTCATCTTCATTACTGTATCACTGGGTTAGGGGGTCAGGGACAAATGATTGGTCACCAGGAAACACATTCTTGTTTCTCATGAAAAGGACGACAATGTTGGTCTATTCAAAGTAAAGCTCGACTTCTCTAGGGAACTGAGAGTACAGACGCTGCTCAGGAGCAATGATGTGTCGCTGACGCATGTGTTGCTGGATGCACATACAGTATGTACCTCTACTTCTTCTTCTTCTACCTCTACTTCTTCTTCTTCTACCTCTACTTCTTCTTCTTCTACCTCTACTTCTTCTTCTTCTACCTCTACTTCTTCTTCTTCTACCTCTACTTCTCCTCCTTCTTCTTCTTGTTCTTCTTCTAATTCAATGTACCTTCCGCAAAATATTGGACAAAAGAAAGTCGGCTAGTAGTGTCAACTAAATCCATAGTATTACAACAAACGTGGTTTAAACGAGGTACATTACGAATGCATGTTCTCAATCGCCAAGTACGGGATTGAATATTAAATTAGTTTGGATTAGATTTATTGTCCCCAGGGGGAAATTCATTTTCACAGCTCTGTGAAAACAATATGAAATCGACAAAAAATAAGACAGACATCTACAGATAGCACCACACATGATGGTTACTTGTTATTAGTTAGGCCTGTATGGATCAGGATTTTGCCAAAGCGAGCCCTTTTACTAGAATAATAATATGTTGTGTATTATATAAACCGTATTCAGGGCCGGCCCTAGACTTTTGGGGGCCCTAAGCGAGCTTTGGGTTGGGGCCCCCTCACTCTAGCACGTTCTCACTACACACAACACGGAACCAACTTTTGTCTTATGATGTTAGCATGAGCATGTGTGTCATATTGTATAAATAAGCATGTAAACACCGTGGACCTAACCTCCTCTAAGGGGATCCGGGGACATGCTCCCTCTAAGCAGATTTTTCTTTATGGATATTTTTCAAATCACTCCCCTTTCAAACTGTATTCTTGTTTTGTCTTATAGTATTTCATAACTGTTTTTCATTTATTCTCTCTGGCTGTCCATCTCATAATGTTCACATAGAAACTAGCTGTCAATAGGAATATCAATCAGAAGAATTATATTTTCATGTAAAAATCTGTCACAAAAAGAGGTTGCACATTTAAATGCAGGTGTTGTTATGGCAACGTCAGTGGCCAGACAGCCACATTTACTGCTGCAAATACGTTCAAACATGCTGTCGACACGTAAAGCAGTGGCAACTATGCCACCATTTCAGCTGACTTTTTCTCAGAAATACTGTCACATAACATCCATATATTTCAGTGCTAGGTTGATGCTTAGCTAAGCTAACTATGAAACACTTTAACTGACAGGACTCCGGATCAACTGTGTACTGTAAGGTAGCTTCTAGCTTCATGTCGAACAGTAAGTCAACATTTCCCAGAGCTTTCTTTGAAATCACCAGGTAACGCTAAAAAACATTACATTTAGATTGTATGACAAAGTGTTTATTTAATATATCTGGCTAGCTATAGCTACTTGCTAACGGTTTAGCTTACCCCCGCGATTCAAAGTAACGTTAACGTAGCTGTAATTTATGCTTTGCTTACATGTTCGCATAACTTGGTTTACTTACATTTACATACCTTGTTCACCTGGCTCAGGTGGTGGCTCTGGGGTTGTTGTGTGAGCCACCACTTGAGAATTGTTGTATTTTTTAAGAAAAAATGTCCATCTTCAAACACTCTGAGTCCGACTGACAGTTTATTTTAAATATTGTCACAGCTCACAGGATAGGTACCTGTCAGCCAATAAGACGGATGTTTATTTCCATTCAACTCTCTGGTTGGTCTGGTGCCTTGCCTCTGTTGCATTCACTGAACGTGGGAAATTACAATCCTGCCGTCCTCTCTAGTGTCATAATGAGGTTCAGGTAAAGCACGGTTAATGTATTATATTATTGACTCAATAATATAATACATGACTTTGAGAGTAGGCGATCTAGGCATATTAACTAAATTAATTAAACATACTTATCACGGCGACGGTGTACTGAGATTATTATCATTTTAATTGTTTTGCTAGGGGGCCCTTAGTGGCTGCAGGGCCCTAAGCGGCCGCTTATGTCTTAGGTCGGGTCGGCTCTGACCGTATTGGTACAATGAGCGACATCTAGTGACGGATTTTGGAACATTGATTGGATTTTTCTCATGGCAGTTAGAGACAAACCAGGGGAGTTTATGTTTAATCTGTGTCCGTCCATTTGGTGTAGTATTTCATCCAATATTACATTTGGTTTATATATTAGTCACTTTGTTATGAAATGCCAGGTTTTAGGCCTTGGTCTGAACATTCAATCCTGGAAATAAAAAATCAACCAGATTAATTTGTAATCCTGATATAGAGTAGATAGTAAGTAAGTAAATACATCTGTACAGGAAGACGGGTTAAGGGATAGAGGAGAAAAGGTTATGGTATAATTACAGAGCCTGTCAATTTATAAATTGGGGAAATCAATGTTAGTCTGTTAACCAAAGTTCAGCCATCTAATAATGAACTATCTGTTATTAAAGATCAGAGGAACAGAACAGAACGAGAGGGGTCAATCCGGAATACAAATAAAGAAGCAAAGAGATTGTAGAGCAGTGAGAAGGAAAAAAGCTTGGTGTGTCAATTCATTACATTGCCAGTGTTTTTGGTTGTTGTGAAAAAAAAAATTGCCCCCTCGGATTTAACAGTCATTTCATCCTAGAGCCGGGCCTGGCCAGAGCACCGGCACGAGGCCGGGCCGGCAGAGGCCCGTGCTACTCATATGGATGATATGGACGGCTGGACACAGGCCGTGGGGGCAGGGGCTGTTCTAGGGGGGAGGGAGGGGGGGGGGGGGGCAGTGACTACTAACACTGACTTTGGAACCCCCTGTGGCCCCCCTGAAAATGAAAAAACAAGGTTTGATTAAACTAACGCTATTTGTCATTCTAGTCAGACCCATTAGAGCAGGGGTCTCCAAAAGGTCGATCGTGAGCTACCGGTAGCTCACAAGCCCTCAATAAGTAGCTCGCCAAGCAAATCCAAAATGTAAAAAATACACACAAAAAAAAGGAAATGTAATTAAAAGAATCTACCCTATGCATAAACGAAACCTCAATCATATCAAACTATATCTATCTAACACCCCTCCTCCCCCACCCCCCACAATGAATATCGACCAATCACGTTCTTGCAATAGTTTAAAAGGGGAGTGATTGCTAAAATATGCATACATAAAAAGAAAGAATTCTAACTAGGTAACATAAAATAAGAATAAACAAGTTTAAATGATTTGTTATTGGTTGTGATCATATTCTAAAGATGTTTGGATTATTAAAAATCATACAGCTCCCTTTCATCTGAGAGTTGAGAGCTGTATCCATACATTCATGTTGTGCTCAAAGTGCAGCAGATTGATGCTTTTAACTTCAACATTTAAAAAATAATAATTTCCGGGGTTGTATGCCCCCGGACCCCCCTAGAGGAGGTGAGGACCCCCCTAGAGGATGTGAGGATCCCCCTAGAGGAGGTGAGGACCCCCCTAGAGGAGGTGAGGTCCACCCCCAAATAAAGCAGGTTAAAATAATTAGATTGCATACATGTTCTTTTAGTAAACACTGAAACGGGTCCCACAGACCCAAACAGCACACAAAGGTTAAAGGTCAGCATATAATAATGTTAAAATGTGCTAAATATATACACTGCAAAAAAATAAAAAAAGAGTAAAAGTAGCGCCCGACTTGTTTTATTTTTTTAAGTAGCTCTCTCAGGAGAGCCCTGCATTAGAGCGTAACAACTGTAACTATAAGTATCTGAAATAAATATGTACTGAAACAAATACCAATAACTGTATTGCATTGTTTTCTTATGCACAATTACTTCATACTGTCTTTGTCTTTTTCGTCCTGCATTTACGAAACTGTAAAGTCCACTGAGACAAATGTAACATTTGTGATATTGGGCTATATAAATAAACATTGATTGATTGATTGATTGATTTATTGGGCCCCCTCAGAAAATAACTGGCCCCCCCAGTCAAATTGGTCTAGAACCGCCACTGCGTGGGGGGGCATCCACAAATGCATTTAAAAGATTTGCAAACTCACGAATACATTTGCAAATATAAAACGGATCTGCAAATATGCAAAATATTTTTACAAATAAAAAAAAGATCTTTGAATATCTCTTTAACATTTACAACTTTTGATCAGGCATTTGTGAATCCATTTTGTATTTGTCGACCAAAAATGCGCTTGTTTTTTGTTGACAGAAAGCCATATTCATACCACCACTACTATCCTTGATAAACACAATTTCTTGAGTTTTGACCATTTTAAGCGCTTTTTTTATAATTGTTTACAAAATTAAGCTTGAGCAAGTTTATGTTGAAATAATATGTACTATTGGGACTAAACATTTACAAACAAAACCATATTTTTCGGTTCAATATATTAACTTTCGACAACAATATTGACCAATACAGTAGAGGAAGGTTATCTCTTAGTAGAGTGAGTGGCTCTTGTGGGTCTGTCTACTTGGAGCTGATGTTCTCGGTCCCGGCCTCTTCAGAGCGTACACCACATCCATGGCGGTCACCGTCTTCCTCTTGGCGCCAACCCTTTAAATTCTATAAATACTGCGCTACATGTGTTATTTTCATATATTGTTACACTGATCAAACACACACCAAGTCAACTTGTCTAGGGCTTTGAAATGGTTATTAACCCTAAAAAGCAAAAGCAACGTCAATTTGTGTTTGTTTTAGTAGATTAAAAGTATTCTCATAATGGCGGACATTAAGTAGGCCCTAGTGATTGTTCGGAAGTTCTATAGAAAGTTTAGAAACGGCAATAGTTGAATGAAACAGTAGTGTTTGTCCAACACTATATAATAGAGGCACAGGTTCGATGAAGGAAAGCTCTCTGGACAGAAGTGTGTGGCTCTTAAAAGAGCCTTTGGTGTTTGTTGAAGCGGGTTCAGGGTGTTCACTTCTTGGCAGCCTTCTCGGTCTTCTTGGGCAGCAGCACAGCCTGGATGTTGGGCAGCACGCCTCCCTGAGCGATGGTCACTCCTCCCAGCAGCTTGTTCAGCTCCTCGTCATTGCGGACGGCGAGCTGCAGGTGGCGGGGGATGATCCGGGTCTTCTTGTTGTCCCGGGCGGCGTTTCCAGCCAGCTCCAGGATCTCAGCGGTCAGGTACTCCAGCACAGCGGGCAGGTACACCGGGGCTCCGGCACCGACACGGTGGGCGTAGTTACCCTTCCTCAGATGCCTGTGGACACGGCCAACGGGGAACTGGAGCCCGGCCTTGGAGGAGCGGGTCTTAGCCTTGGCACGGGCCTTTCCTCCGGTCTTTTTCTGGCACAATTTTATTTTACAGATTCTGATTTTTATAAAAAATAAAATCAACTCGTGAATTATTTCGTATTTCAACAAAAAATAAACTACCAAGCAGCATAGCCAATACTGCTATTAAAAATAGCTCCAACTTTATCAGCTTCAAAACTAAGGTGATGAACAAATTGAAAAATACATAATTATAACAAATATGATTTATTAATAAATGAATACTTTTACATTTGTAGATGTTGACACTGCAAAAAATATAATAATTTGTAATATGTGTATCCTTTCTATATCCCTAATAATCTTCAAAACGCTTTCTGGTTCTTTGAAGGCTCTATCCAGACTATCTTCTGGTTATTGTCTGCATCAATCCCTATTATCTCTTACAACAACAAAAAACAACATCTTGGACATAACCGCAAGACTGTAACCTCTTCACATTCTGTTGAGATTGTGAGTCAATAGCCATGTCTCACACATTGCTGTTTTGAATCATTACTATGTGGATGACAGTTGAACTGGATGATGTAACATGTATGCCATCTGCTGGAAAGAAGAGGTATCGCTCTGTTGGCGTCGTTTGGACAACAAAAGCAGAGTGAAGCTCTCATACCATAAACAACCTTTGAGTACAGACACCGTCCTGCAGAGAGCACACAGCCCAACAGCACGTTGTTGGTCTAGCGTCATTTTACAAAACGTTTGCATTAAGACATGTTTAGAGTTGGTGAGGTCCTGATAATTTATTCCGGTAAATTATTCTGACCTACTAATTGACCTGACCGAAGTTATTGAGTCTATGTAAGTTTACTGCTTGGCTCAGATCCACCAAGGTCAGCAAGATCTCACCTCTATTAACTCCCCGAAGAACCAGGTTCAATTAGCTGCTGTTTCTATTCAGACAACTCTTTTTAATCTGTTTAAGGGATCCCGAAGGATTTTGGTATCAGTGAATGAGGTGTGGTCCTACCTAAATGTGAGTGTGGCAGGGTGCAGTCTTACCTTTGAAGCAGGAGAGGAGAGCACAGATGTCCTTTTAGTTGTCCCAGTCCAAAAAGGTGGGATCAGTTTATTTGAAGAAAAATAGGTCCAAACTAATACAGGGTTTTTACCTTCTCTCTTTAACACATTATAATCATACGAAACATATCATGCTGGGGTTATATTTTTTATCTAAAACCTTAATTCATATTTCTCCCATTAAAGTCTTCCGACGAAATTCAAAAGGAATTTCCTCGTGATGGCGTAGGTTTTCTAATTAGTTCTAAAATCCTGATACATTTTCATGTCTTCCAGGCAGGGCTAACTAAAATGATTATCTCTAAGATCCTGTACGTAATAATTACGTCTTCCATGCAACCTTACCGAGAGCTATTTACCCAGCTCTTAGGGCCAGAGCCTACCGGGAGAGAGTATACCAGGGGTTTCCCCCTCTCTCTCGCGCTCTCTCAAAAAACCAATCTCTTTATGCTCAAAAAACCGGATCGAAACCCCCAAAAAACACCTCCTCTATTCCCAACCAACATCTTCTATTGGCTATGGCATAAGACACACCTTCCCATGTTTGTGTACAAAAAAAAGGACATGACCAGACATATTCTATGGCTATGACATAACATCCTTTTTGAGGCCTCAATGTGTTTCTCCCTGTGAACTGCTGTCAGAGGAGAGGGAAAAAACTGCCTACTCTCTTATCAGAGAGTAAGGCATACATATTTTATAGGTCTTACACTCAACTTAACAAACCACTGGTGTTTTGTTTATGCTGTAAATATAGAAAAACCTAAAATATGAAGGATTTTCATTGTGGGTTATACAAGAATATAATTGATTATATTTGATTATAACTAACTTTCGTTTTAAGTATTCACTTCATACTATGAAGCTCTCAACACCCTCTTTTTAAAACGCAAAGTAATCAAACAGCATCAACTAAAATTGTAAGCATACATACATATTCAAAAACCATCAAGAATCATTCTCATTATGGGTTTATACAAGAATATGATTGATCCTCTGAGTCATGATGATCCTAGATTTGTGCGCACCCCCACTCTGCCTGGCACTTGCAGGAGTGGGGCCCATCTGTGGTTCCGGTGTAGACTCCTAAATCCATGTTGCTATCTGATGTAAATCCTTGACCCTGACCATGGAGGGGTTGAGGTTCCTCCCTGGATGACACCTCCAAACGAAAGCCAGATAACTCGGTCGACAGTTGTTATGGATTTTTTAGACCTCGTCAATAATCGCTCATAACTTTTTGACAAGGTCAATGAGGCCCCACAATGATAGCACAAACGAGGAACCAGAGGCATGTGGAACAGCTTAGCTGGCACTCGCTCATGATAACCTGTGTGTGCTAAAATCAAGTATAAATCATTTCTCTGATTCATAAAAAGTTGTTTCAGTTAAAAAATTTCCCCAAGGGTTTTCTCAAGGGGGTCGTGTATTCCATATTGCTCTGGAATTTCTATAGACAGCAAGGTGATTGTTTCTCCTCTTACTCAGTTGGCCTCTAACGGCAGAAAGCACTGGACCATCATTTACTCTTATCAGTTTAACGACCTGACAGCCCTACACCTTCATGCTGTGTGAGAACCAGCAAAAAAGAAGGAGGAAGATGTGCTCAAAAAAAAATCTAATTTAAATGAATACTCTTTTAGGGTGTAGGCGTATAATAATTAAAAATAACTGAAAAGAAAACTAATAGTGTAAAGTTAAAAACCAATGAGAAAAATAATATAAAGGTTATTTCCCATTTCCTCTTTGATACTGAGGTATTCTCCATTCAAGCTCTAATGATCCATATGCTAATAGACAGAGTTTCCTCTTGCCATCTTTCTTTGCATAATTCACTATAGATTCTAACAGTTCTACTGCTAAATCATTTGCATTGGAGCTATTGCTTGTTACTCAGATTTAAATTCCCTCTTTTGCTCTATCGAATATCCCTTGGTACAGAATTTACCAAGACAAATTCTAACTTATTGCGGGAGGATCCCACAAAAAGCCATCCTCTCCTGTGGAAGAAAGCACATTAACTGCCACGTGTGTGTGCAAAACATGTCATGTGATGTGAGACTGATAGCATCAACAGTGGATGGGTAGGCCGCAGTCATATTCCTATCTGGATTCTAAACTCAGTTGGCTCGGGTGAACCGGTCCTCTCTTCTGGAGTGAAACTACGTTCCCAGAGATTGACTTCACTGTATCCAAACCTTCTGATTTAGTTTTAAGCTAACCCTTCTCTGGACTTTGCCCCTTTCTGGTCACCCATACACGATTTCTGAATTTAAAGGGAAAAGGTGTGATAGTTAGATATGACCTGACCTTTGCCCTAGGTAGCTTTTCCATACTTATAGGAATATATTCAGCTTTGTCAAATTGATTGGAATGTCCCAATTTGTTTTACAGTTTTTTATACTCCACTCTTTGGCTGCTCTAACGCCTGATACTTCTATGGTAAAGACCAGATAGGTGTGATTTCTTTATCCTGCAAGGGTGACAAAAACTTTCTCATTTTTAAAGTGAGTGACATTATCCATTCTTATTCTCTCAGTTTTAGGACAAATACTGATATGCTCTGCCATTTTAGCAGACACTGTGTTCCAGTTGCTCTGGTCAGAGGATAAACATGTTTATGACTCCCTCCATTTATCAAAGGTCACAAGGAAATACTTATTCCCACTGGGAGTGCAGGTCAGAAAAGGACCTGCTATGTCAGCACTAAAACTGATTAGTGGTTCTTCCTCTATTATTTTAAGATGCTCAGGATGAACTTTCTTAAACCCATCCACCTCTACACATTGAAGACATGTTGACCATGTGTGTTGTAGGTGCAATCGCAGTTTTGGTAAGAGGATTTTATTGTGGAGACAATATTTCCTCATCTGAAATAGGCCCACATGGCCTAAACTGCTGTGTAATTCACGCACAACCTAAGGAGCTTCTTCAGGTGGTACGTGAATGCTTCCACCCTTTTTCCATATTCTAGGGAATATGGCAGTCAGGTGGTTAACTTGTCCCGTGCTTTAAGCAAGGTAAAACTTCTCTATTACCCTGATAGTTAATTTATATCTTATCTGTATGGCTACGGACATGATTCCATTCTACATGCCTGCCTTTAACTCTGCAATAAGACCCTCAATAGATGGGCATGTGTCAGCGTTTCACCTTTCACATTTTTGAACTGCCTTTGTTCCCAATTATTAAGCTCTTCTTTACCCGCTTTTTAACAATAATCACTATCAGTAACAATACGGATGTGTGTTATTCTACCTTTTTTAGCAAAAAGAAGTCCCTCAACAAATGGCCTTTTCCTCAGCAGTCTGTACCTGGTATTGCACCCTTTTACTTACAAAGTACTTCACCTGAATTAGTTTTCATTATAAAGGCCCAAGTGGCTGCTTGGTCACCTTTTCGCAAACTCCCATCTGTCAACAGTGTTATCTGTGGAGTAGCGGTTTCCTGTACAGGTGTCATTGTTTTCCTTTGTGGCTTACTTCCTGAGGTCCTTTACACTCCACATCTGGATCAGACATCATCATCTTCCATTTTCCCCATCTACTCATCATTGTTTTTGCTCCCTGAACAGTTTGTTTAGTAGCTTCAGATATTGAAAAATAAAGAGTGTATATGCACATTCTGGCACCTTGAGACATTTCCCTCAGGGCTGGATAGAATCTGAATGCAAGTGCAGGATTCTTCTCTTCAGGAGAGGATTTTTCCTCTGTTCCTGATCAAGTCATGGACATGAATAACACCGATTTTCTACCACCCTGGTTCCTTATCTCCACACCTCCTCCTAAATCATTCGTGGCTAGATGAACTTCTCAAGCTTTCTTCATATCTCGCATTGTTAGTTGCTGAGAATGGGTCTCAACATACTCTTTTGGTTTTTGATATTGATATTTTTGTTCTGGTGTTAAGATAATTTTTTGAATCTCCCTCTTTTCTTAACAACTGGAGCTATGTCTATTTTAGATCTGACTTGGTTAAGAGTTGATTTGTTCTTTGGTGAGAGGAACTCTTCCCCTTGTGCTGGGTGGGGGTGGGTAGCTTGCTTTGGGAGAGTTCCTTACAATCTCCAGATCTTCCTCTGTGCTGAGGCCATACAACTTTTAATGGGTCGCTCCGTGGTCTGCTCAGATTTTCTTCCCCTCCAGAGGTCACGCCTGTCTTTGACCCCGTGTGCTGCGTTTTTCTGCAGCACCTCAGGAGCAGAGAAAGGAGGAGATTTTTTTCCAAAAGTGTAAGCTCCATTCATGAGCAAAATAGCACCACATTTAACTCTCATTGACTTGTCTTTAAAGCGTTCTTTAAGGCCTGAATTGAGTCTTCTGTTGTGTAACGGAAAATCCCATTTCCAAAAAGGGGTCAAGAGCAAATAGTTTAATTGATTTTGGTAAAGTATTTGAGCTTTAGCTTCGCGAAAACCTCCTCATATTAGTTTTGAAGATATTGTTGGGGTTTGATATCTGCTGATAGTTCCCACATAGGTTTTTTCTTAAAAGTACATTCAAAACAACCGGTATTTGTGGGTCATCTGATCACCACATTGCCTTCTGACAGTTTAATAGTCCTTATCATATTATCACTCTGTGCTTGCATGCTAGGACCTATTCTCTTTGCCAGAGCTACTGCTATTCCTCCTGTATGTTTTAGCTTCCTATTAGCAGGGTTCACTAACATGGTTTGTTGATCCAGTTTAAGATTTTCAATATTAGACATTATTTCCAACATTCCTTTTTCCCTGAATATCATGTCTAACAATGTGTTTTCTTCTAGGAGTAGTAGATGAGATACTCATAAATGGCATTTGTGAGCTTTTATCCCTGTAGGGTGGAGGTAGGGTCTCAGACATTATACCACCTGCTTGTTGCTCTCTGTCCAAACGATAGTCTGACAGGAAAGTATTTAGGTCGCGGTACGCCCGTGGGCAGGGCCGGACTGGGACAATAAGTCAGGCCGGGAATTATACACTCAGCCAGGCCACTACCAGTTTTATTTGTCAATTTTTACAGCGTTGCTGCCCATAGTGATAGCCCTCTAAATCTACTACCCAAAAATAAACATATGGACATGGGTTACTATTTAAAAAAATGTGCAAATCTATTTAGGAACCTATGTGAACATATTTTAAGTGGAGGTGGACCTCAAATCCTATAGATTTGTTTTAAATGTTGGACTTAAATGCATCAATCTGGTGCATTTTGAGGGGGAAATAAAGAGACTACACCCATATGAAACAGAACTGTATACATTTAAATAATCATAAAAACATGGCCATAACCAATAACATACCATATTCAATATGAAAAAACATTGAAACTTGTTTATTTATTTGTTTTTGGTTCATTTATAGTTGTGAGTGTGTCTGTGCTCCTGAACCAGCCTCACCTGTCTCCCCCTGCTCCTCTTTGAGGCAGCAGCAAAGACTAGTTTTAGCTCTCAACAAGTTTATCTTACCTTTTTTCACCTAGTTAACATTTTTTTTGTATTATTCATGCATATTTTACCAATCACTCCCCCCTCAAATGGAAATATGTGTTTACATAAATGGTGACCAAACCCTTCGAGACCCACAGAGATAACTTAGACTAAGTTAACTATCTAAACACTCGGAGAGTCCTTTACCTCACCTGAGCTGTAGTTATCAGTCTCTCAGTCTGACAGGAGAGGACTCTCCTCCACCTTGTTGACAGTCAGCTCATTATATCCATTAGCGCAGCTAGCTAGCACCAGATGCTAACAACAATACACGTAACCGGTGCGCACGCTTTATCGCGCCACACTAACACACACCCTCCCGAGCTTGAATGACACACAGACCAATCGAGGGCATTAGTATGATCTGTATGAAAGTGGCCATGTCGGCAGGCCACATCAAGTATACAGCCAGTCACAGTGAGGCAGAGTCAGACCCACATTTGCGCAGCGTTGCGTTCACAATACATACATTTAAAAAAAAAATCCTCAGGCCAGCAGGCCACTTAACAGGCCAGGCCATCGGGAAACCTCCCGGTCCTCCCGATGGCCAGTCCGGGCCTGCCCGTGGGTCTGGGCTAAGCTGACCAGGGGGGCAGAAGGTCCGGATTTCGCTTCTGTGTATCCCTCCCTGTGTGGTTGGCTCCGAGTCATTAAAAACTGCGTTCTAACCTCATCCGCCATTTATTTATTTTAAATTTGTTTCTTTTATGTAAGGGTTTAAGTTCACCCTTTTATACACATGCAAGTTCCTAGGCTATTACTCACACCGGAGGATCAGTCCGACTATACCGTCACTTGGTTCTTGGTTACTCTTCTGGATTCAGCTAGTACATGCGGATACCTCAGTTAAGAGAGTTATGTATCGAGCTTCGAGCTGTTTCAACAGCATAGGTACCTTTAGACCTATGTTTTTCTTTATTAAATCTCCCATTAACTCTTCCCCACGTTATGTTTTAACGCAAAAGTTCAAACCGCAGCTCTTTGTCAAGTCCTACCTATACGTTTCAAAGTAATTGGACAGGTACTGAGCAGTGCTCCTACGGCTGACTTCACTACTAGCCACCAAACCTGTGTTAAAGGGACCACAGGGGCTTCTCAATTTGGCTAGGGGAAGAAGAACCTACTTTAGCTTCTTTAACAGACAGCAATATCCGATATAATATAACCCTCAGTCCGGTGCAATAGTATCAACTTAAATTACTACACTTTTAGGTTAAAATATATATTCTAGGATTCGGGTAGGTATTTTAACAAGACTTTCAGCCTGTATTTCGCTGATTTGTACTCATCGACTTTTTTCACTAGGTCGTTTTGGTTCTTGTATTTTGACTCTGTAAAAGTATTACTTTTCATCGTGCCCCACGTTGGGCGCCATGTTTAGAGTTGGTGAGGTCCTGATAATTTATTCCGGTAAATTATTCTGACCTACTAATTGACCTGAGCGAAGTTATTGAGTCTATGTAAGTTTACTGCTTGGCTCAGATCCACCAACGTCAGCAAGATCTCACCTCTATTAACTCCCCGAAGAACCAGGTTCAATTAACAGCTGTTTCTATTCAGACAATTCTTTTTAATCTGTTTAAGGGATCCCGAAGGATTTTGGTATCAGTGAATGAGGTGTGGTCCTACCTAAATGTGAGTGTGGCAGGGTGCAGTCTTACCTTTGAAGCAGGAGAGGAGAGCACAGATGTCCTTTTAGTTGTCCCAGTCCAAAAAGGTGGGATCAGTTTATTTGAAGAAAAATAGGTCCAAACTAATACAGGGTTTTTACCTTCTCTCTTTAACACATTATAATCATACGAAACATATCATGCTGGGGTTATATTTTTATCTAAAACCTTAATTCATATTTCTCCCATTAAAGTCTTCCGACGAAATTCAAAAGGAATTTCCTCGTGATGGCGTAGGTTTTCTAATTAGTTCTAAAATCCTGATACATTTTCATGTCTTCCAGGCAGGGCTAACTAAAATTATTAGCTCTAAGATCCTGTACGTAATAATTACGTCTTCCAGGCAACCTTACCGAGAGCTATTTACACAGCTCTTAGGGCCAGAGCCTACCGGGAGAGAGTGTACCAGGGGTTTCCCCCTCTCTCTCGCGCTCTCAAAAAAACCAGTCTCTTTATGCTCAAAAAACCGGATCGAAACCCCCAAAAAACACCTCCTCTATTCCCAACCAACATCTTCTATTGGCTATGGCATAAGACACACCTTCCCATGTTTGTGTAAAAAAAAAAGGACATGACCAGACATATTCTATGGCTATGACATAACTGGGGCTGCACGATTTTGGGAAAAAAAAATCTAATTTCGATTTTTCTGACAAATATTGCGATTGCGATTTGCGATATTTGTTTTTAAGCTACCCAACGGAAGTTTATTGTAAAATGCGGCCATAATTCCGGCTAGGAAGGTCGTATCAACGTGCTCTAGCACCCCCGCAGCCCGAGCTACGAGTGAAAGAGCTAAACTTACATGAAACTTCTGTTGGGTTGCTTTAAAGTCAAGCTTCAGTTTAAGATTCACCCTGTAATAGAAACATGTGATGGAGCATTACTAACCTGACTCAGATGGTTGGTTTCACCAAAGCATCTAAAGCTCCATTGGAAGCCATTTGGAAAGGGCAGGCACTTTCAGAAGCACTTGGCAGGTGATTGGATCAATCTGTCTATCACCTTCTTACACTCAACTTAACAAACCACTGGTGTTTTGTTTATGCTGTAAATATAGAAAAACCTAAAATATGAAGCATTTTCATTGTGGGTTATACAAGAATATAATTGATTATAAGTAACTTTCGTTTTAAGTATTCAACATACTATGAAGCTCTCAACAGACACTAAGACTAGCTGGTCCATTGTAAAGGTCAGTCCACCTTAAATGAGCAGTGGTTCATCAACAGTCAGTGGTTAACGTATACATCAGAATGACAAAAACATGAAACATATTGTCCACAGACAGATTTCTCTCACGTGTGAACAGTCATAATTATTCATTGTCCTCTCCATCGGCTTCTGTTTCCATGTGTTCAGCTGAGCTGCTGATTGGAGAATCTGCC